TTAAGTAATCAAAACTGGTAGTTGGAATCTTGATACACTTATGATGACTAGACTGTGGTTTTTGGATATGACAGAGAACCTTTGTGCACAAATTGCATGGGTAACTTGGCTTAGTGGGTTTCAAATATGTAAGATCTCCTTATTTTCACAGGCAATTCTATATGGCGCATCGGCCTTGTTCTTTTCCTTGGTTGCTCCTAGAAAAAAAATGTAAGTAGTACACGAGGAAGTTATGGTGTTGTGTCAGAATTGGTTCTTAAAGAGTATTATTTTGTAAACTTACAGTTCCAGTAATCTCACCTACATGAATAAAAGGAAATGGAAAACACCATTATATTTTTATAAATTTGTCAATAAACCCAATGAACCTTATTAACTATAGAAGACTTACCATGTTTCCCAGGTTCACTGTTACTTCTTTTGGGACCTGTTGAGAGGAATGACTTTTAAAACAAAAATTAAAATAGATGAAAGAAAAAGAAAAATCCATTAGAAAAGCATTAGTGCCAATTTTACAAAATGTGGGTCTAGGACAACTCATCCCGACCAACTCGTACCCATCCCGATCCGTCTCAGTCCTATCCCGTCCCGATCCCACTGGTCCCAGTCCTAAGTCGTCCCCAATATAGTGAGAATATTTCAGTCATTTAATTTCATTTCTTAAGTAAGGGAGACCGGGGCTACTTGACCAGGATTTTGCATTTGGGCCCTAGAGAACAGACCCGTTCCTGGACTCGTTGCCCCGTCTGTGCGCCTGGAGACGTTCTCTGATGCAATTTTACTCCACATGCTGGTCATCGCGCATCGCCTCACTCCCCTCCGCCCTGTAGATGATGGCCAGGCCGGCCGCTTGGACCTGGGGGAAGAGGGACTGGCCCAGGTGGAACAGGCACCCGCACAGCTCGCGGTCTGCGACAGGGTATTGTTGCAACAGTATCTGCCAAATAACAGCTCCAAAAAAAAATGGTCCGGGACGAGTTGGCCGCCCCAGTAGGACGAGTTCGGGAAATGGCCCGGATCGAGATAGGGTCGGGACCAGAAGGGCCGGGTACGAGTTGGTCGGGACGAGTTGTGCTGCTCCCCAAAATGTTGCCTAGGAAACCGAATGACAACTAGTTTTGTTGACAAAGCTGCAGAAGTTACCACACAAGTATTGTTACTCCCTGATAATTACCTTTCTGTTTGCGCTGATTAACATTAATCCTCTTCCCTGGTGACACAATTTTTTCTGTTGACTTGTTTAGGAAGGATACAAAAATACATGTCAAATACATATGGGAAGTAGGTTCACAAATTTAATTTTGTTTGCATTAGACAAAATATCTTATCTTTACCTTTCAGAGCCCAAAACGAAAATGGCATGTCTTTTGTACAAGACGAAGAAAAACAGCCATAGTAATCCCAGCCAAAGCATGGACCAGTGCTTTTTATAGTTTTCCTGCAACAGAGAGAAGCATAAAGTATACAGGCATCATTGAGCATTGTAACAAACGACGAAAAAAAGTCCGACCAGAAACGGATTGTGAAAGCAGATGATACCAAGTCCAAAGTTCTATTCCAGTCTATAATATCTCTGTGGGAGTTGACGGGACGCCGACCAGCCTGAGTTTAGAGACCGGCGATTGCGAATCCGGCTCTTGTACCACTTAGAGCGCAATAGTGCAATATTTTCAGTTGAACCCACATCTTGTGCCCTGCCCCCGCGTCGTTGTATATGAAAGTTTAGAAGTCGAGGTTTTGTTTCTAATTTTCTGCCCAGCAGCAAGAGGTCGGGGTGGGGAAACGGGAGCAGAGGGAGTGGCGGTGCGTGGCTCCATTGGTGTGGTGGGGAGCACGGCCGACTCGGCTCGGGCGCGGCTCGGCTCGGGCGGCTCACGGCTCCGCTAGGCTCGGCTAGGCTCGGCTCGGCGCGAAATCTGACTGAATCACCGGAAAACCTTCCCTTGTCAGGTCTTCTTAGATGTAGTATTGTCTAACCTTTTCTGGAGCATGGTAGACAGACTCTGTCATTCCCACCATATCCTTCAGCACCATTTGGGTTTGGTACTGAGCAGCCAAATAAATGGACTGGTACTTGACAATGGGCACACTTGTGAGCTGAGTTAGGTCCAGGAGGTCCGTGAACTTGACATACAAGACATGCATTTGCATTTAGGTTTCCACTTTCCAGTCCTAAATTCCCATGCGCCACATGGAAAACCATGAACACTATTCCATGGCAGAAGGACCGTTTTCCATGTGTGGCTGGTCATTTTCCATGTGGAGCCTCTTTTTCACGAGGAAACGGCTTGGCCCTCCATGGAAATTAATGTCACCATGGGATCGGAACTAACTTTCCATGGGACGTATAATGGGAAAAGTGCATATGCTACCATAGTGTGTCTTTCGCCATGGTGTTGGTCTTCGCTCCATGGAAAAACAAATTCCCATGAAAAATAAGAAAGCTGTAAAATCTGCGTTTAATTGAATATCGGTCTAAAATTTGGTGTCTAGCACCTCGGTCGAATTTTAGTAGGGCCATTTTTATCTCATTCAAATTTGAGCACTTGTTCCTGCTATCTCGTAAACGGCCGTAGCTATGTTCGAATAGACAGCGGATTCGGCTCCGCCTCGGTTTGACCCTCCTAAAACATGCTTCGTATCTGTAAGACTGAGTTTGACTTAAGCAACTGACTCTGCTCTTCGCCTTACCATGGTTAAGTTGTTCATGGGCTTAGAATTGTTCCATTGAGACCAAAACCATGGAGTTTCTATACATGCTCATGGACAAAACACTCATGGGAAAGTGGCAAAAAATACATGGAAAGTTCTTCCTTGGACAGTTGATGTTCCACGACAACCCATGGGTCATGAAAAACACCATGGGATTTTGGCACTGGGCTATTTCTAGAAGAGAGATCACTTCTCTATTATTGTATTATTGCAGCCTGGGTAAAAATAAAAAATAAGTTCTTTACTACCTTAATTACCTTTTCTTTACTGGTATTTTCTGGTAGAAAACGACAAACCTTTTCTCAAAAAAAAAAAACCCATACATTTTAGAGAGGGAGTGTGTGTGTAGGTCTTATTGATCCGAATTAGGGGCTGATCCGACATTGGTTCAGTCGCTCTAGAGAAAAATAGACCCGAAGAAGGCGCGAAATAGTTGGTGAAATAGTCGCGAACTACCCCGAATTAATCCGAAATAACCGTGAAGAAACCGAAATGGCAGAAGAATATCACGAAATAGTTCGTACGCTGCGAACCCAAAGGATTTCCCCTAGGCTGCTTGTTAGACTACTTTTCAATAGATTACTGTAGTCTTTCGAAAAACGACATATATACAACGTATCAAACTTTTTAGCTGTACACCCGTTGACACAGCAATGCACGGCGCTTTTTGCAGCATTTGGCCCCATGCGATGGGTAGATTATGGGGCTGGCTAGAACGGGTCACGGCGCTTATTGTTCGGACGTGATTACGGGTCTGTCATGTCAGTGCGGCGTGTCCCAAGCCGACGAGGCGCTTTAGATACGTGTCTTTCGCTATGTGAATCCTAGAGAACGGAGTACGCCTTTTGGTCGCATATCCTTGCCCTACGAATTCCTAGTGGGCCTTCCGATCGCCAGGTCTCCGTGGTAGCCGTGGTTTGAGCTCTACGAGGAAAACAACGCAACACAGTGCAGGTAAAAGCAATGTCTGTGTATGTGTGTGTGTGTGTGAGTGGGGGGGGGGGGGGGGGGGGGGGGGGAAATGTGC